TGGGGCCACAAAGCAGGGCCTGGGATTTGGAGTACTGAGGCAGGCAGTGGATTTTGCAAGCATCGTCACCTTTCTGCAGTGGTCCTTGCATGATTTCCAGTAAAGACTGTCAACCTCCAGGTGGAGCCTGGAGCTTCCTCAGAATTACAACTGATGCCCAGGTTGCAGATATTTGTTCCCCGGAAGAAAATGGCCTCTTCAGAGGGTGAACTCTATGGCATCGCAGCCCTGCCGAGCCGCCTCCCCTCCCCAAACTCTGCCTTCCATAAGGTCCACCCTCACATCTCCAGGAATTTCCCAGCCCAGAGCTGGGCCCCGTTCACATGGGCCAGATATCGCCGGGGGGGTGTGTGTGTGGCTAATTGCCCCGGCACAGTTTGATCCGCGATTATGCGATCAGACACGCCGGTGGCACACCACGGGTCCTTCCCTCGGCACCGGCGCATAAACTAGGGGCTGGAGGGGAAAGCTGTGCGCCGGCGCGATCACACCGCAGGAGTCTGGAGGCAGCCCATGGCAAACGGTTTACCAGTACTTTGGAGGTACTACTTTTTTAACGCGCATTTTTGGGGTAAGCCACAGGTGTGCTCCACTTCCCAGATGTTGGGGTGGGATCTCACCCAGATAATCCACCCACCATCCATGCCTCCCCCGCCGCAACTTTGCCGAGTGACCGGGGCCCTGGTAACCCTGTGTCCAGTCTGTATGTAATTGACCAGCATGGGAGAGGGGAAAGTAGTTTGAAGCAGGATGAAAAGTACTCAGAACGTGGAGTGATTCAGCAAGAGTGATTCAGCAAGAGTACTTTATTAGATCAGGAACAAGACAAAGAAACCAGCTCGCAGGCCGGTTTATATGCGTTCAGAAAACCCGCCACCAAGCACACCTAAACACACCCCCTACTCCCGATAGGCTATTTACAGTAACCGGGCGACCATTGGTCTCCCGGCTGGGGAGCTGGCCCTTTGATTGGGCCGGCTAGGATCCTACGGATCCTTTGTCTTTCGACTGAAGCTACTGAGGAATATTGCCTGGCCAGCCCGGGCAAGTCCGGGCATGTCAGGCTGAATGCACTACACGTGGTAATGGCGACAGTACATTACACCCCTCCCCCCATAGTCCAAACTACCCACATACAAAGTCCTGTAGATATGCGGGGGCCTTCCTGGGCCTTGTAGAGCGGCGGAGGTCCGGGGTGCTGTTCGGGGCCGCTCCTCGTGGCCGGGGCGGGGCGGTTTGCTGTGGCGTTTCCGACGGCGGTGTGTCCTGCGGCTCTAGAGGGACCGGGGCCGAGGCCGGGTTCTGCGGTTCGGGTGCGTGGCCGGAAGTTTCGTTGTGCTCCTGGGGCTCCAGGTCCTCGGGGTCGTTCGGAAGGACCCGGCGCCGCAGTTGGTCGATGTGGCGGTGGAGCAGTTGACCGTCCTCACAGGAGACCTCATAGGAGCGCGGCCCTCGCACCCGGACCACTCTCGCAGGAATCCAGGGTGGCCCCTGGGCGTAGTTCTTAGCGTAGACTGGGTCTTCCGGGAAGAACCCTCGGGCGGCTGCGTGGGACTCCGATGTCGGTTCCATCTCGGGGGCCCTGTCTGGGTGTAGACGGTCCAGCCGGGAGGTTAGGCGACGACCCATCAGGAGCTCCGCCGGGCTGCAGCCGGTCTCGGTGTGCGGGGTCGTGCGTTGGCCGAACAGGAACACCGCCAGCTTGTAGTCCCAGTCCTTACTGTCGAACTTGCGCAGTGTTTCCTTGGTGGTGCGCACCATGCGCTCCGCCTGGCCGTTGGTTGCCGGGTGGAAGGGCGCTGACCGGACGTGTCGGATTCCACAGTACCTCGTGAAGTCCTGGAACTCGCTGGAGGTAAATGCTGTGCCGTTGTCGGTCACCAGGGTGTCTGGAAGGCCGTGGGAGCTAAAAATGTGGCGCATGGCTCTGATGGCGGCCTTCGAGGAGGTAGACGGTACAGGCACCACCTCCAGCCACTTACTGTAAGCGTCCACTAGAATGAAAAAGATTTGTCCCTGAAACGGCCCCGCGAAGTCCAAGTGTAGCCGGGACCAAGGTTTGTGGGAAGACTCCCAAGCTCGATCGGGCGCTCGGGGCGGTGCGGGCCGGAACGCCTGGCAGGGTTGGCACAGTTTCACCAGTCTCTCAATGTCCTGATCGAGGCCGGGCCACCACACATAACTCCGAGCCAGCGCTTTCATCCGCACCACTCCTGGGTGAGCCTCGTGCAATGCTGCAAGTACTCGGTCTCGGAGTGGGGAAGGGATTACCACCCGACCTCCCCACAGCACACAACCCTTGTGAGCAGACAGTTCGTCTTTGCGCGAGGCATAGGCCGCAAAGTCGGGTCCCGCCGAGGCCAACGGCCACCCCCTTCTCACCCAGTCCAGGACGCGGCAGAGGATAGGGTCCTTTTCGGTGCGCCGGGCCACCTCTTTCACGTGAACCGGCTGGTCGGGCAGCGTTTCCAGCAGCGCGATGTGATGGGCTGGGGCCGGGTCAGGCTCCGTTTCCGGCAGAGGCAGGCGGCTCAAGGCGTCCGCATGGCCCATCGCCTTCCCGGGCCGGTGCAGGAGCATGTAGTTGTAGCCCGCCAGGAAGACGGACCACCGGATCACTCGGGGCGAAGTCATCTGGGGGGTCTGGCGGTCCGGGGCGAGCAGACCCAGGAGAGGCTTGTGGTCCGTGAGGACCGTGAAGGGCCGGCCGTAGAGGTAGTGGTGAAATTTTTTCACCCCGGCCACTATAGCAAGAGCCTCCTTGTCAATCTGCGCGTAGTTGCGCTCCGCCGCAGACAAGGTACGGGAGTAATAGGCCACAGGTACCTCCCGACCGTCAGGCAGTTTGTGCCCCAGGACCGCCCCGACCCCATATGGAGAGGCGTCGCAAGCCAGCACCACCGGCAAGTCCTCATTGAAGTGTGCGAGTACCGAATTTGAGACGAGGAGGTCTTTGACCGCCCGGAAAGCCGCCTGCTGAGCCGCCCCCCAGACCCACGGCGCGCCCTTGTCGAGGAGCCGATGGAGGGGTTCGGCTACTGCAGCTTTGAGGGGAAGAAAAGAGTGGTAAAAGTTCAGGAGGCCTAAGAAGGCCTGTAGCTCGGTCTTTGATGTGGGGGCTGGGGCGTTCGAGATCGCCCTGGTCTTCTCCGCCGTGGGGTGAATGCCCTGTGCGTCGACCGCGAACCCTAGAAACTCCACTTTGGGCACGCCGAGCAAGCATTTTTCGCGCTTCACCTTCAGCCCCGCCTGGTCGAAGCGTTGAAGAACGGTACGGAGTCGGGTGGCAAACGACGCGGCGTCGGGGGCGGCGATCAAGACGTCATCTAGAAAGGGCTGTACCCCGGGGATACCTTTGAGGAGAGAGTCCATGAAAGATTGAAAAATCCCCGGAGCCACCGAGACGCCGAACTGGAGCCGGTGGACCTTGAAAGCCCCTCTGTGCGTGGCGATCGTCTGGGCTTCCGCCGTGGCGGCGTCCACCGGCAGCTGCTGATAGGCCTGCGCCAAGTCCAGCTTTCCAAATATGCGAGCCCCCGCGAGCGCCGCCAGCACGTGGCTGACCACCGGAACGGGGTACGCGTGGTCCTGCAGCGCTTTGTTAATTGTGCACTTATAGTCCGCACAGATCCGGACGTCCCCGTTTGGTTTGATCGGTGTGACAATGGGGGTTTCCCAGCGTGCCGATGCCACCGACTCCAACACCCCTTGCGCCACCAGCTTGTCGAGTTCCGCCTCGATTTTCGGCCTTACCGTTAAGGGCGGAAACCTGGCCTTGATCCGTATGGGCCGGACCGCCGGGTCCAGGTCCAGGGAGATGGGGGCCCCCGTGAACTTGCCTAAGGACCCATCGAAAACCCGGGGGAATTCGTTGCAAACGTCCGCGAAATCGGCTTGCTGCAGCTGGTGGATGCCCCCGATGGTCAAGCCCAGCGGCTTAAACCACGACATCCCCAGGAGACTGGAAAGCCGGCCCCCCACCACCAAAATGTCCAAGCAACCCTTGAAGTCCTGAAACTCCACATTGAACGTGCCCCAGCCCCGCACCACCACAGGATTCTTATTGAAATCCTGAAGCCTGATGTGTGGTTTGCGCAGAGGGGGTCCCCCGTTGGGACACACTGTCCGCAACGTCTCCTCCGAGATAATGGTAAACTCGGAGCCCGTGTCAAGTTCCATGCTACAGGGGGACCCCTCTATCCGGACCGTAACATGGACTTTGTTTCGGCTCTGACGGGGCAAGTCACCTACCTGGGGCTGGGGCTGGTGGCCGACGGCATTTGTGTCGATCGAATGGAGGTCCACAGTGTGGATGGGTTCCCACTGGTGGCTGGGTTTCCTGGATGGCTGGCGGCGGCTGCGGCAGACCTTGGCGATGTGGCCCTGCTTGTTGCAGGACCTGCAGACCGCCTCGCGGAAACGGCAGCTCCGACGTTCATGCGCGTCCCCGCAGCTGGCACAGGAGGAAGCTGGCTCCGACGGCCTCGCTGGCGGTGCGCCCTTCGAACGGTGAGGTTGTGACGGCTTGCGGTGGAGTTGCGCCACTGCCTCCTCTTCGGAGTCAGCCGAATCCCCTCCGGCTTGGGTGCGGTGTACCCGATGGCCGCTGTGGCCCGGACGCTCATTCTCGAAAGCAGCCGCATCCTTTAAAGCCGTGGCCAGCGTGAGGTCATCATCGCGAATGAGGCGCCTCCTCAGTTTGGCCTCTCGTAAACCCAACAAGAACTGATTCAGCAGGGTCTCGTCCAGGTTGCTGAAATCGCATTTCATGGCGGCCTTGCGAAGGTTGGCCAGGAAGTCCG